TAACGAAATTTAAAGAATATTTTATAATGTTTAATGGAGCTGGACATTATTTTTATGTTTAGATGCATTTAAACTGATCAAATTTTATTTCAGAGAACAATAAAATTAAAATTTGTTTGATTAAAACCTTGCTAACATGGAAGTACCCAGATATATTTCCGCTTGAGCATCCTGTTCTTCCGTTCTTTGTTTTTGAAATCTCATTTTGTATCCATAATTCGCATCGGATTTTCCTAGTTTCTGGATTTTCGTTTTGCCTTCCAAGCGGGCTCTTTTTTATCTGTTGGTTGATTTTTTTTCTTTGACTTGAGATGAAGTTTTACAGGAACTGCGAAAGCTGTGGCATATATGACAGACCAAACATGTCTACTTTTTTCAAAAATCTTTTGCAAACGAAACCTATCTCCACTTTTTTTAAAAACTTTCCTGCAAACCAAACTGAGATGAGGTATTGGAACACTTTTACACTATTTACATTGCTCGTATTCTCCTCCACATCTTCACTGTCACATTCACGACGTTTCGGCCGGCGTATGCTTTGGCCTTCTTCAGGATCTGCTTCTATTTCTGAGATGAAGTATTTTAACTATTTACACTATTTACACTGTTCGTATTCTTGTCCTCGTCTTTACTCTCACATTCACAATGTTTCGGCCATTGTATGCTTCGGTCTTATTCAGGTTCTGTGTCTATATATGAGGTATTGTAACTATTTTCACTAATTACATTGTTCACACTCTTGTCCTCATCTTTACTATCACATTCGCAACGTTTCGGTCATTGTATGCTTCGGCCTTCTTCAGGATCCATCTATATTTCTGAGATGAGGTATTGGAATTATTTACATACACTGTTTAATTTCTTCGGAGTCTTGTCATCACCTTTATTGCCATATTTACAACATTTCGGCCTGTTGTATTCCCTGGCCTTCTTCAGATGATATTTTGTTTTATAAATTTCGAACCGAATCCAGAATAGTTAATCTGTATTTTGCCGTTTCTGAAGTTCTTCACTAAAATGGACTGACATATAACATTTACATTCCTGGGTCGCTCAGTAAAGTCACTGAGAATTTGTAGCATTTCCTTAACCCACCGCTTGCAAATATCGTGACAGGGACAATTTATCACCTCATGCAAGGTAGTAAAGCCACTAAGGCACAGGGGGGTTACAGAGTGCGGAAGAATTAGGAACAGAAACATTAATAATCAGCGGGAAGAACGGGAGTAATCTGAAGGGTAGTAGATCGCGATTGACATTTCATTTAAATTTTTGTTTCTTGGATCATTAAAATCTTAACTTGTTCCAGTCTATGGGCAGCAAGGCAGTAAAGCCACTAAGAAATAAGTGGTTACCGAGAGAAGAAAAATTAGGAACAGAAACATTAACTATTTTAACTATTTACACTATTTACATTGTTCGTATTCTTGCCCTCATCTTTACTGTCACATTCACAACGTTTCGGCCATTGTATGCTTTGGCCTTCTTCAGGATCTGTCTCTATTTCTGAGATGAGGTATTTCAACTATTTACACTATTTACATTGTTCAAACTCTTGTCCTTATCTTTACTGTCACATTCACAACGTTTCGGCCATTGTTTGCTTTGGCCTTCTTCAGGATCTGTCTCTATTTCTGAGATGAGGTATTTTAACTATTTACACTATTTACATTGTTCAAACTCTTGTCCTCATCTTTACTGGCACATTCACAACGTTTCGGCCATTGTTTGCTTTGGCCTTCTTCAGGATCTGTCTCTATTTCTGAGATGAGGTATTTTAACTATTTACACTATTTACATTGTTCAAACTCTTGCCCTCATCTTTACTGTCACATTCACAACGTTTCGGCCATTGTATGCTTTGGCCTTCTTCAGGATCTGTCTCTAATTCTGAGATGAGGTATTTCAACTATTTACACTATTTACATTGTTCAAACTCTTGTCCTTATCTTTACTGTCACATTCACAACGTTTCGGCCATTGTATGCTTTGGCCTTCTTCAGGATCTGTCTCTATTTCTGAGATGAGGTATTTCAACTATTTACACTATTTACATTGTTCAAACTCTTGTCCCTCATCTTTAGGATCTGTCTCTATTTCAGATGAGGTCAACAACACTATTTACATTGTTCAAACTCTTGTCCTTATCTTTACTGGCCATTGTTTGCTTTGGCCTTCTTCAGGATCTGTCTCTATTTCTGAGATGAGGTATTTTAACTATTTACACTATTTACATTGTTCAAACTCTTGTCCTCATCTTTACTGGCACATTCACAACGTTTCGGCCATTGTATGCTTTGGCCTTCTTCAGGATCTGTCTCTATTTCTGAGATGAGGTATTTTAACTATTTACACTATTTACAATATTCAGGCCGTTGTCCCCATCTTTACTGTCTCATTCACTACGTTTCGGCCATTAGAGTGGAAAGAGAAAAGAATAATCTGGAGTGCAGTAGATAGTGATTGACATTACACTTAAATTTTTGCACATTAAAGTTAGCTGAAAAGCATGGAGCCGCCGGAAGGGAGTTCCACAAGCGAAGAGTACGAGAAAAGAAACTGTTAGCAAAGAATTTACGATTACATTTGACCTGATCAAAAGTAAATTGACGAGATCTCGATGCCAAGCTAGTCTTGCGCTTAAATTTAAAAAAACAAACTTTGGGTACCCTAGCGAAAAGCTCGTTCAAACAATTTCCATGAAAGTATTTATAGAAAAGACACAGAGTGGCAACCTTATGACGGTGGGAAATTGACTGGAGTCGAGCCGCCAAATCAGGACTAATAATATCGCTGATTCTTCTTTGGATTTTAAGAAGGATCTCAATGTAAATAACTTTTTCTATTTCCGTAAATCTTAATTCTTTAGCGGTTCCGCCCCAGAAGAAAATTTACTAATGACCAGACATTGCAAGACGGAAATGTTAAAACCATTTCGACTCTTTCTTAGAAGCCAACCAATTCAACAATGCCGACTGGTTCAAAAGTCGCGCAATAATTAGAAGGAACATTACAATTGGAAATACTTTCTGGACAAGCAACTAACAATGGGATGAAAATCTAAATATGCTTTCTGATTTGCATATGAAACAGGCCCACCGCAATGGCGGGTTTGATTTTCGCTGCAGATGTTGGCAGCAGTTCGGCCAGAGATCGAATGTCACCGATCTTTTGATGGGGGCGCCGCTCGCAGTGGAACCTGCCAATCGAGATGCAGACAGTGGACAACAATGGCTAATTGACCTCGTCTGCAGATAAATCACCGTTTGATTTATTTTAGGATATGACTTCAGTGGAAGAGTTGGATTGTCTGCTGTCTGAATGTAAAAATAGAATTTTTTTTAATAAGATTTAAAAATTTTAAACGTAATACAACAAAATCGTTTTTTTTTTCCTACCTGATTTTCCGGGTAGATAGTATATAGACATTTTTGGGAGAATTACTTGTCTTTCTTTGACACAAAGTTTCGGCCGATCTCTCTTTGGACGTTTGTTTCGGATTGAATTTTTAAAATCTTATTATCAGGTCATCCCATAAGTTCTGTCCGAATTTTGAATAAGGAAAACAAGTGACCAAATGTTACATTTAATTACAGATTCAATCAACAATGTATTTTCCCTGATTATCTACGACTTCCTTCCATCTATTAACAAGCTTACTAATTCCATTACTGTAAAATTCTTTTGGCTTTAATTCGAAGAACTCACAAATGTCAGTTTTAACCTCTTCCTGTGTTACAAAAACTGTTTCTTCCAAATGATTCTGTAAGCTACGAAACAAATGGTAGTCTGAAGGAGCAAGATCGGGAGAATAAGGTGGATGAGGAATTTTCTCCCAGCCAAGTTCTTCGATCTTTTGTAACGTGATTCTTGCTGTGTGGGGTCGCGTATTGTCCTGATGAAACATCACCCCTTTTCGATTCACTAGAGCAGGTCTTTTTTTCCTCAAAGCTTGGTTCAAACGCTCTAATTGCTGACAGTATATTTGAGTATTAATTGTTGCATTAGGTGGTAAGAATTCAAAGTGGATTATTCCTTGGCGATCCCACCAGATTGAAAGAAGAACCTTTTGCCCATGAAGTTCCCTTCTCGGCTGTGGCTGGGGTCCTTCCCCTTTACCAAGCCACTGTCTACGACGCTTAACATTTCGATAAAAGATCCATTTTTCGTCGCCAGTCACAAGTCTATCCAAAAAAGGTAAAACAAGTTGGCGAGAATGGAGAGAAGAGCAGATGTCAACTTGGGATTTGAGGTTGTTTTCAGACAATTCATGAGGCACCCATTTTTCAAGTTTAAGAACATTTCCAAGTTGTTGAAGATGACGATGAACAATTGTATGGTTTGAACTGAGAACCACTGATTCAACTGATAAAGCAGGATTTTCTTCAAGGGCTGCTCCAAGAAGCTTTTCATCAAACTCAACTGGACGTCCGGTTCGATCTTCATCTTCAAGGGTGAAATCTCCACCTCTGAATTTTTCAAACCATCTTCTGCAAGTTCTTTCATTCACATATTCCTCTCCATAAACTGAGTGAATGTTTCTAGCCGCTTCGGCTGTTGAGTGTCCTTTCTTGAACTCATAAAGCATTATGTTCCTCAAATGATTCTTGGGTACTTCCATGTTAGCAGGGTTTTAATCAAACAAAATTTAATTTTATTGTTCTCTGAAATAAAATTTGATCAGTTTAAATGCATCTAAACATAAAAATAATGTTCAGCTCCATTAGACATTATAACATTTAAATTTCGTTCATTTTAACAAAAAGTTAAAATTCGGACAGAAATTATGGGATGACCTGATACAATTCAGCCTTTACTATTATAATGTACTAGACTATCCGTGACCCGTTGGGTCATTGAGGGTTCAGCTTATAAAACACTGAATTGGATTTCAACGTTAAAATAATTGTCCGTTTGAAGAAAGTTTAAATAAAAATACTTACTGTATAAAGAAATCGTGTTTTTAATTATTATTCACTTAACGCAAGCAAGCAGCGCAATCACAGATAGGTGGAAAGAGAGAGAGAGGGGGAAAGAGAGAGTGAGGTGGGAAGTGAGAGAAAGAGAGCGAGAGAGAGGGGGAAGAGAGAAGTAGAAAGAAACGATTCACAGACCTTTATTAGATAGATAGATAGATAGATAGATAGATAGATAGATAGATAGATAATGAACAAAACGAAATAAATAGAGAGGTGGAAAGAGAAAGATAGAGAGAGAGAGTGGGGTGGGAAGAGAGAGGTGGAAAGAAACTTAAATCATTATGTGCCCGACGGCCGACTTATGCACGATTCACAGACTTTTATTACATAGATAGATAGATAGATAGATAGATAGATAGATAGATAGACCGAGTTAGATAGATAGATAGATAGATAGATAGATAGATAGATAGATAGATAGATAGATAGATACGAGCAGACTGAGATAGATAGAGATATAGAGAGATAGGATAGAGACTGAGATAGATAGATAGATAGATAGATAGATAGATAGATAGATAGATGGATAGATACGAGCAGACTGAGATAGATAGATAGATAGATAGATAGATGGATAGATAGATAGATAGATAGATAGATAGAGCAGATAGATAGATAGATAAGATAGACTGAGATAGATAGATAGATAGATAGATAGATAGATATAGATAGATAGATAGATAGATATAAACAGAACAAAATAAATAGAGAGGTGGAAAGAGAAAGATGGAAAGAGTGAGTGGGGTGGGAAGAGAAAGAGATATGTGGAAAGAGAGAGATGGAAAGAAACTTAAATCATTATGCGCCCGACGGCCGACTTATGCACGATTCCCAGACTTTTATTAGATAGATAGATAGATAGATAGATAGATAGATAGATAAATTAAGGAAAAAATATTATTGAAGGTGCACTAAATTACAGAATCCTCGATAGTAAATTGTGTGCAAAGATTTTTTTTAAATCATTTCACCCCAAGCAAGGCAATAAAGCCACTGAGACGCTTTCTGGGTGTTAGAAACTATGAGAAGGAATACTCTTAAGGAGAGAATAATAAAGGGAGAAGATTTCATAAAATGACGATTGGCATTGCATTTCAGTTTTTGACTCGGAAGCAGGAAGAGAGTTCCACAAGCGAGAAGAAACTGTTAGCATAGAGAGACGATGGAGCAGCACGGTGCGCTACGAGCCTGGCCGGGATATATATATATATATGGTCTAGTTCCCCCTCTCGGCGTTGCTAGCAGAGTTCAAAGGAGAGGATAAACCAATACAGTTTGGTACCAACGCGGCTGCAGGAGTTGCCGGAAGGTAGCACAAAGTGCCGTCCATCCGCCTTAGGGGCTCCACTCCAGGTTTGAATTCAGAGTTGTCCTTCTCCTAGACCAGTTGCCATCCAAGGCTATAGAACCCAGTGTGTCCTGCTATTTACCCATAGCTGGAGGGAGAAGAAGAGGATTCACACCTTTTCCCAACGTAAGTGAATGTAATGGATTCGACTGGAATTCGAACTCGGCTCTCCGATTCCTCAATCCAAGCCGCTATCCATTACTCCACCGTGCCTCCCCTTACTCCACCGTATCTCCTATTTGAACTGTAAAATGTTGCTAATCTAATAATCAACTGGTAAAATGATGAGACCTTACCGCCAAAGTGAGGACCAATAACATTGCGAATTCTTTTTTTATTTTCGAAATTCATGAAGAATCTTCAGATGAATAGCAGGAGCACCGGGGACCGTAAGTGGCAGCAATATTCTAAGCCTGGAGGAAGAGTAGACTTACAGACATCGAAGTTATATTCTGGCGGGAAAAAATTGTCTCGCACGACACAGCGAACCAAGGTTCTCACCAGCAAACCTAACAATTGATTCAATATAATCGCAAAATGTACAGGGGGTCAGGGTCAGTGTCAGGGCCAAATTTGCCAAGATTTCTTCATTGTTTCTCACAGAATCCGTATATACAGGGTGCGATGGATGAATTGTCGTCTAAACGACGCGAAAAACCGAAAATGACGCTGGCATCCCATTTTTACGGGTATACAGAATGCGATGGGTAAATTGTCGTCTAAATGCCGCCAAAAGCGCTGACATCTCATTTTAATAGATATACAGGGTGCAATGGATGAATTGTCGTCTAAATGACGCGAAAAAACGAAAATGACGCTGGCACCTCATTTTAATAGATATACAGTGTGCGAGGTATAAATCGTCGTCTAAACGAAGCAAAAATGAAAATAACGCTGGCGTCTCATTTTAACAGATATACAGAATGCGATGGGTAAATTGTCGTGTAAATAATGCGAAAACGGAAATTACACTGTCATTTTATTTTACCATATATTTAGCCAAATTACACAAAAAAATCTTGAAATATTAAAGTGTAAATTTATTCACAGATCGCAACAGCTTTTAGGGAGATATGATTAAATGTTTTTAAAAAATTCATTCAGTATAATTATTGTTTAGGTAATAAGCATTATAACATAGCTCAAATAGCTATGTTGTGGAAAAAGGAATTTTCGACAATTATACGCATTTTTTACGTATTTATGGTTATTTTTTTTAACTTTTATCGAAAACGACATTGTTATACATGTAGTTATGGATAAGCCGCCATCCATTAGACCAAGAATACAGGCAATATTACCGCTTGTTATGACGAAGCGGTCACCCATCTAGGTACTGACCAGGTTCGACCTTACTTAACTTCGGTGATCGGAGGGAAACTGGTGTTTCAGCGTGATATGGATGCAAGCTTAGCATAACGCGTGTATATCCAACATTACAATGATTGTTATTAGAAGGCCGTCACCCATCTAGGTACTGACCAGGTTCGACCTTGCTCAACTTCGGTAATCGTAAGGTAACTGATGTTTCAGCGTAATATGTCCGTAAGCCCTCTATACCACCTGTATACCCAACCGTGCAGTGTCTGCTATTAGTAAGCGGTCACCCATTTAGGTACTGACCAGGCTGGACATTGCTCAACATCGATGATCGTAGGGGAACTGGTGTTTCGGCGTGATATGGCCATAAATCATTTATACCACGTGAATATCCAAACGTACAGTGCGTGCTATTAGTAAGCAGTCACATACTGACCAGGCTTGATCTTGCTTAACTTCGGTGATCGTAGGGAAACTGGTGTTTTGTATGATATGGCCGTTAGCCCTTCATACCACGTCTATATCCAACCGTACAGAACGTGCTATTAGCAAGCGGTCACCCATTGCTTAACTTCGGTGATCGTAGGAGAACTGGTGTTTCGGCGTGATATGGCCGTAAACCCCTTATACCACGTGTATATCCAAGTGAACAGCGCTGATATTAGCAAGCGGTCACCCATCTACATACTGACCAGGCTCGACGTTGCTCAACGTCGGCGATCGTAGGGGACTTGATGTTTCAGCGTGATATGGCCGTAAGCCATTTATACCACCTGCATATCCAACCGTACAGTGCCTGATATTAGCAAACCGTCACTCATCTAGGTACTGACCAGGCTCGACCTTGCTCAACTTCGGTCTTTGTTCGAGATCCGACGTTTCAACGTGATATGGCCGTAGCAATGAAGTTCTTAACCGGCTAACTTGATTGAATGGATGGCAGAACAGGGTTTGGAAGAGATGGCAAAAAAAAAAGAACGGCAAAGGGCAGGAAATTGTGGAGAGCCATGATCGCCAACGATTGAACACGGCACATAGAAGAACAAGAAACATTGTAAATGTGTCGGTTTTGGGGATGTGAGTCATTTTTTCATTTCCATTCTTTGTTATCATGATTCTTTTCAGTTTATGAAAAGAAATGAACATATGTAAGCCATTTCATGAAATAATTAGCTCCACCATGCAAGCTGTCTGCTCTCCAACCTCAAATTCCCGCCCTTTCCTTGTCTGGTGAATTTGAAACAAAAATGGCGTATACACTGCGTTCTCTTTAGCCAGATAATAATAAGATGATGAAGTTTTCGTCATTCGGATTAAGTTATAAAACTGCGATGGATGAAATTCGCTTAATCCGAAGTTAATGAGTTTTAAACTCTTGTAGGCACGTATCTGCGATCAGACGTTAGTCGGTCGTGTGTAAACCGCCATATGTGTGCATTAAAATGGTCGAATATCTCCAGGCATACGTTAAGGAGCTCGTGATTAGGAAGTTTATGAGTTTTGCCTTCGAGTTCGATATTAATCACGAGAGAACGTGGATCTTTGTACGACTTCGAAGAACAGCATCTGTTGTCGCTGGAGTGCCTAGGCCCGAAGAGGTTGCACTCTGACAGTCCTTTAATGCTGGCTTTGCGACGTAAGGCGTAATCTCACCGACATCACGCTTGAGACACTGTCCTTCTCTTTCACACCTCCGCCTGGTTCCGGCCGCTTTGCAAAGTCCTTCGGTCTCTCGACGTTGATGTTCAGTGCGTCTTCCATTCAGCCTCCAGCGAAAAAGACAATGTCCTACGAACACTCGATTGATGTGATTGATTTGTTTGTTGTTTCTACGACCCGTCAATCGTTTGCAGATTATTTAAAGCCAGAAAGTAGTTTATACATAGCAAGATTTTTTTTTTTAGATAAGAGAGATTTACTGATAAAAGTAGACATAATTAAGCGATAGCTAAGGGTAGAAGCAGTGGAGTTATACTATTCTCAAGAGTATTTGCGCCTAAGTAAATATAACACATCCGATTGGAACTCGAAATCGGCTCACCGATAGAAAAATTCCGAGAGATGATCCATTAGACCACCTGTACAGGCAATCTTACAGCACTTGGCATTACGAAGCGGTCACCTATCTTGGCACTGACCAGGCTCGACGTTGCTCAACTTCGGTGATCGTACAAGATACGGTGTTTCAACGTGATATGGCCGTAAGCCCTTTATACAACCTGTACAGCCAATGGTACAGCAACTGGTATTTACAAACGGTTACCCATCTAAGCACTGACCAAACTAGACGTTGCTCAACTTCGGTGATCGTTCGAGAACCGGTGTTTCAACGTGATATTGCCGTAATCCTTTTATACCAACTGTATATCCAAGCGTACAAAACCAGGTATTAGTAACCGGTCATTCAGCTATGTACTCACCAAGCTCGACGTTGCTTAACTTCGGTGATCGTACGAGAACCGGTGTTTCAATGTGATACGACGATAAGCCCTTTATACCGCATGTATATTCAAGCGAACAACAGCTAGTATTAAGAAGCGGTCACCCATTTAGGTACTGACCAGGCACGACGTTGCTCAACTTCGGTGATCGTACGAGAACCGGTGTTTCAACGTGATATGGTCGTAAGCCTCCGACCTCTCGAAGTTCACATTCAGTGCCATTTTTTAAAAAAAATCTCCTCTATGATATCTGCGCAGTACAACACCACCTCTCCCCGTTGCAAAATCGAGCATTTGTAATCAGCTCTGTAACCTCGAAGAAAGACGGCTTGGAATATCTAACACTCAGAAGGCACAAGGAACGTAACAAGAATACAAGATAACAAAGAGTAGCAAAATCTTTCCTGTTTATTTTTGTGGCTCCTATTTGGTTAGATCATACTTATTATAAAACCCAGGTTGTGTGTGTGTGTCTGTTCGTTTATATATTGGATCGGATTTCCTACATTTTTCAACGGATTTCAACAAAACTTTACAAGACTACGTAAAATTACCTTGCGGTGGTTCTGACACTGTCAAAAATTGGAAAAAACACAATTGTTTTTGCACGAAATCAATTTGAAAACACGATTAAGAGGCATCGCGAGAATGAAAGGGGACAACTCATATCGAGTTATACTTATTATAAAAAACCCAGGTTGTGTGTGTGTGTTCGTTTATATATGGGATCGGATTTCCTACATTTTTCAACGGATTTCAACAAAAACTTTACAAGACTACGTAAAATTACCTTGCGGTGGTTCTGACACTGTCAAAAATTGGAAAAACACAATTGTTTTTGCACGAAATCAATTTGAAAACACGATTAAGAGGCATCGCGAGAATGAAAGGGGGACAACTCATATCGAGTTATACTTATTATAAAACCCAGGTTGTGTGTGTGTGTTCGTTTATATATGGGATCGGATTTCCTACATTTTTCAACGGATTTCAACAAAACTTTACAAGACTACGTAAAATTACCTTGCGGTGGTTCTGACACTGTCAAAAATTGGAAAAACACAATTGTTTTTTGCACGAAATCAATTTGAAAACACGATTAAGAGGCATCGCGAGAATGAAAGGGGGACAACTCATATCGAGTTATACTTATTATAAAACCCAGGTTGTGTGTGTGTGTTCGTTTATATATGGGATCGGATTTCCTACATTTTTCAACCGATTTCAACAAAACTTCACTTTTTTTTTGGCAGGTAGTGTTTCTTATTGTCTTGCACACTTTTTTCTTTATTTTTAAATTCAGAATGCTTTAAAAATTCCATTTACAAGACAATTGTTTATAATAAAATTCTATTCAATCGGTAGACTCATAACGATTGAAAACAATGTTTTTGAGTTTGGGTTTGACCAATTTGTAAAAAAAAAAAAAACTAATTAAGACATGCGTGTCCGTCAACCTTAAACAATAATCTTTGTCAATTTTATTTTTCAATCTTTATGATGGTCGATACTTGATCTATCCGGGCTCTACTGCTAGTATATTATAAACAACAAAATATATACCTATCCCCGTATCAAGTTAATTTTTATACATTCAAAAAGTAAATGACAAAATATACCGAGTAATTGTTTTAGTTTCAATTAAAAGCAACAAAGATATACCAATCCCTGAATATAGTAAATGCTTATAGACTCAAATATAAGCAACTAATATTTACCTATTCGCGAACCAATTATCCGGCACATTTCTTAATCATGTGCCGTAGTATCAGTGGTATATCTGCATTTTCGTTATAAATTGCACCTGCTTCGAATATTGCTACCATATATGGTTCGGTGATCTTGCTATTTACTTTGTAACCCCTTGTGTCTTAGTGGCTTTAATGCCTTGCATGGAGTGATACCAATTTAAAAAACAAAAACAAAAAAATAATTGAACGTCAGTTGTCAAAAGGGCATGGACAAAAGAAGGATATTTTTTCCGTTAAATACCGAAATCGAACAGAAAGCGTTTTAACAGGGCGGAAATTGCGAGCCGAAGGCGAATTGGGATAACGAAAGATGCCTTCTAAAAGCTAAGGAAAGTATTAAGAAAAAGAAAAAATATCGTCAGAAAAAAAGAAAAAAGGAAAAAAAAGCCACTGAACTGTTATGTAATATCAGTCCTCCTCTATGGCAGTGAATGCTAGACAATCTCCTCGCAGATGAAGAAGAGACTTGAAGCAACAGCAATATGGTTATACAGAAAGATGCTGAGAATGCCATGGACCGACCGTATAAGCTCGAGGAAAGATGGCTTGGAACATCTGAGACTCACAAGGAGCATAAGAGGAACACAGGATAACAGAGTAACCTATCTGGCAAACCTGTGTAAGTAGCAGTCGGAAGAAAGGTAAAAAAAATCAAACATTGCTAAGATAGAAAGTTGTGGAGAGTCATGACCACCACCACTTCCGGCGTCTTGAAGCGGCACTGCATATAGAAGAAGGGCGTGTTGGTTCTGTTGCTCGAAGAGTGTATCGATCTGGACTGATATTCTTCTTGGATGGTTTTGAAATGAGCCCTCGCCAAAACTAAGTAATTATTGGAAACAAGTGTACAGCTTCTCATTATCCGCGGATCCGTGATCCGCAGATTCTAGAGTCCCTCATATAAAAATGCCTAATGTTGTAATAAGAGGTGAGAAATCCACCTTATAAAGGGCGTTGCCGGTTGTCAGGTCGTAGTTCGATGATGGGACAAGAGATTATCCTTCAGCCACGTCTTGTTTGGTGATCCGAAGAACACCTTTCAATATTTCCGATTCCAGCGATGTCACGCGAGCTGTCCGTAATTCCTTCCTGGTCTTAGAAAAGATGCGGATTATATGACCACTGTTTCTCACCAGTAAGTCAAGCGTTCTCTCTCCACAGCCAAAAAAAAAAAAAAAAAAATCTAAGAAATAAGCAAGTTTGGTTTAACTGCATTTGAAAGGATCGTTTTATTTGAGCTGAAAAATCGCCTCAAGTTACAAGGAAAATCTGATTAGGTAACAATTCAGCCTGAGCAGATCTCTCCACGGTGCGGGGTCTGCTACAGTGCTCATTAAACCAAACAGATTTCTTTTATCATTTTTATTGCCCATATGAATCTTCTTCTTCTCCCCGACCCCCAGCTATGTGTAAATAGCAGGACAGACCGGGTTCTATAGCCTTGGATGGCAACTGGTCTACTGCAGAGAGAAATGGCAACCTACTGCGGGAAAAAATCTGCCTCGTCAGTCATGTATCGAAAGATACATGATCGCCTAAGCATGTATCACGCATGGTATATAACTGACTGACTGCTCGTTTACATACAGCGTGTGGCTTCAAAATAGGCATATAGTATCATACGATATTCAGACATTTGGCCGACGGACATATGGCCGATGGACATATGGCCGAAAATGTAGTGGCGTACTTACACTCTTTATGGTAATCTGTTATATATATTTATATTTATTTACTGTATTAATTGATAATTTTTCGTTTTTTTTTTTAATCCATTTAATCTTCAAATATTACTATAAGATGATGAATATTTTGAGAAAAAACACATTTTACTACAGCAAAAATCTTAAGATTTTACGATATGAAAGATCTTTCAATTTTGCTTTTAATGATCCTTATCTTAAAGGGATCGGCTAGCTTTTATCTTACTTTTAAATACAAATTTAAATAATTAGCAGCTACAGTGTAACCCGGATATAAGAGACCCGGATATAAGAGAAACCCGGATATAAGAGAGATTTTCTCTGGTCCCAAATTAGAGCCTGTGTTAATGTATATAAAATAGACCAAACCCGGCTATAAGAGAAACCCGAATATAAGAGACTTCGTCTCCGGTCCCGACAACTCTCTTACATCCGGGTTACACTGTACTTTTTACCCAAATACACTGAAATATTTGAAAAAATACCAATTTCAATAAAATATTGAAATAAGAAAAGTTTTAACGTTAAATTTTGATTTAGTAATTTAAAAACTTGAAATTCAGTACTAATTATTAGTCCTATTCTACCTTATAATACTGCTATTTAAAATACTTAAAGTCCTGCTTGGTACTATTTTTATTTGTACTTTTTCGGTGAAATGTCTGTTTGACCAAATCATACCAGTAGTGGTCCTAGGATTAATTTAGTACTAGAATTCATTTAATTAATTAAAATAATTTTTACTATTTTTATATTCTTAATTTTTATTATAATACACTTCATATTATTTTTATTTTTTTAATAAATATTAATAATAATTTTTTTGTAGGTAAGAAGGAGTTTATAAATGACGTGGTCCAACAGATTTAGTTTTGGTTTGTTTTACGGCATATCAACCTCAATGAGTTATTTAATGCCGACAAAATTTTTATTGCTGGTAATATTTTTTTTTCTTCAAAAATCTATTGCTGGTAATATTTTTTCAAAAAATATATAGATGGTAATATTCTATTTTAAATGTATTGCTGGTAATTTTTTTTTTTTCAAAAATGTATTGCTGGTAATAATTTTTTACAAATAGTATTTCTGTTATCAAAACCTATTTTTACACTTTCACAGTGCCCATGGCTGTGACCCTAGCAGGTGCTACCACCCCGGGTCAAGGTGGACCTGGAAACACCAGTAATTAAGACGTGGTTCCACGCTCCTCAAAAACTCCTGATCAGAAGCTTTGCTGTCGGAAGTAGTTTATCATCTTACCCAGGACGCGGATGTAGTTTATCATCTTACCCAGGACGCGGATGTAGTTT